GTTGGTCAGGCTGGTCTTGAACTCCTGGTTTCAAGTGATCCTCCTGTCTCTCAGCCTCCCAAAGTGCTTGGATTACAGGCATGAGCTGCCACACCCAGTCAGTTTCCCTGTTTTTAAGTTTTTCTTCATGTTCCATTTCCTGGTTTTGTTTATTCTGCTTTACAAGAGATTTTCCTGAGCTGTATTTCCTGGTTCTTCTATTGAATTTTTTCATTTCTGCTACAAAAATGTTAATTTCCAAGAGTTTTTCTTTGATCCCTGACTTTCCTTTTGGGTAGCCTTCTTGCTCTTATGTTGTGGATTCAGGATCTTCTCTTATTTCATATTTCTGAGGATTCCAGTTGTAATTTTCTGCTGTTTCCTTCTGTTTCCTAGATTGTCTCTGTTGTTTATTTTGATCTCTGGCTTTCAAGTTGGAGGAAAACTCAGACAATAACAGATACCATTGAGTATCAGCCCCTATTTTAAGTATTTTGCATGTTTTAGCTTAATTGAATCCTTACAACAACCCCATAAGGTAGAGCCAGGCCCTGGTCCCTCCCATCTCAAGCCTGGAAGGTTCGCAGTTGAGAATCAGCTTTCTTCTTGCTGATGTCAAGGGTTGATGTCAGGAACCCTTTACCTGATGTTTCCCCCAATCCTGCCTCGCTCTGCAGGCACCTGGGTTAGAATTCAGTTTTTCCTAGATCTGTTACTAGTCAGCCCTCTGCTTTCCTTCATTAAAAACATGTATTGCCATCTCTATTGCACAGTTTGTCCTTATAGGCTTTTCCTTTTGCACTCCAAGATTGTCATTTTAGTTCATTTTGGGAGGTAACAGAGATAAGCATTTGTGTTCAATGAGCCATGTTTATTTAACTGGAAATCCAGAGCTCTGTCTCCCTCTTTAAGTCAGGAAGCATACAGACCAAAAAAATTATAGTGATTATTACTAGATTCCGGGATTATGGTTAAGAGTGATAGCTTTATCTATGTCTGCAGCTATTTTTCTCACTCATAGAGTTAGAAGTCTAAAAACCACATTTCAGATAAGAAACTCATTTTATGATGTGATTTAGACTGATAAAATGCTTCTTGAGAAAGCAGTAAAAATATTAATTATGACAAGTTATAAATTGGTACAATTACTTTGGAAAACAATTTAGTATCATCTATAACCTGGCAATACCACTTCTAGGTATATATTCTCAGGAACGCAAAAGTATTGAGGACCTCAGAGAGCTTCAGTTTATGAGTTATATTTTTTGAAATTTTCCATGTTAAAAATTAAAACATGACTAGGTGTGGTGGCTCACGCCTGTAATCCAGCATTTCGGGAGGCCAAGGTGCAAGGATTACTTTAGGCCAGGAGTTTGAGACCAGCCTGGGCAACACAGTGAGACCTCATCTCTACAAAAACATTTTTAAAAATAGCTGGACTTGGTGGCATGCACCTGTAGTCCTAGCAACTAGGGAGACTGAGGCAAGAGGATCACTTAAGCCTAGGAGTTCAAGGCTGCAGTAAGCTATGATTATGCCTTTGCACTCCAGCCTGAGCAACAGAGCTAGACCCTAGCTCTAAAAAAAAAAGTGAAAACTGAGAAAAATTAAATATAATTATTACTTATTTTAAAAATAAAAATAATACACAAATTACAATCAACAAAACATGTATTTATGAAAAGCAACTTTTTTGATACAAAAATATTACTGAGAAGAGTAGCACTGCTTTATATAAATCGTTTTTTAAAAATTAACTAATTAAATTTTTTTTTTTTTTTTTTAAGACGGAGTCTCACTCTATTGCCCAGGCTGGAGTGTGGTGGTGTGATCTTGACTCACTGCAACCTCCACCTCCCAGGTTCAAGCAATTCTTGTGCCTCAGCCTCCTGAGTAGCTGGGATTATAAGCGTGTGCCACCATGCCTGGGTAATTTTTGTATTTTTAGTACAGACAGGATTTCGCAATGTTGACCAGGATGGTCTTGAATTCCTGACCTCAGGTGACCAGCCTAGCTCAGCCTCCCAAACTGCTGGGATTACAGGCATAAGCCACCATGCCCTGCCCTGATTAATTTTTAATTGACACATATGGTACATATTTATGGGGTACAGAGTAATATTTTGACATATACAATGTGTAGATCAGATCAGGGTCATTATCGTATTCATCATCTCAAATATTTATCATTTCTGTGTTTTGGGGACATTCAATATTCTTTCTTCTTTATTTGAAACTACATAATATATTATTGCTAACTATGGTCATCCTACAGTGCTACAAAACACTAGAAGTTGTTCCTCCTACCTAGCTGTAATTTTGTGTTATTGAAGAAATCTCTCCCTATTCTCCCCTTCCCTCTCCAGCCTCTAGTAACCTCTATTCTGCTTTTCACTTCTATAAGATTAAGTTTTTCTTTTTCTTTTTTTTAACATCTAACTATGAGTGAGAACGTGTGGTGTTTAACTTTTTGTGCCTGGCTTATTTCACTTAACGTAATGTTTTCTAGTTCCATCCATGTCACTTTGAATGATGGGATTTTATTCTTTTTAATGGCTATAAATATTTTAGATGTCTGGCTTGATAGAAGACAGCTGTATTCTCAAGCCAGCTATATCTTTCAATCTGCTGCAGTATGTTTTGTGGTTGAAGTGTACACAATTGGAAAAGGAGCATTTCAATAGCTTTTTCAGACAATCAGGATATTCTTTGATAAGACACCAAAACTCAGCAAGTGGAAGTTTTTTAAAGCTTAGTTATGACATGAAATCTGAAACCATAGCAATGACCTTTTTATACTCTATTACAGCAACACTCACAGTTTTTTTCTTGCATTTTTAATGAATGTGTTACCCATGCAGGGTTTTCTCAACACACCCATTGATCATTTGGAAATTGCTGGGTCGCTGAGTTATGCAGATCTTCTAAATGTTGACACATTTCATTATGCAGCATCAAAAAATCACATTTATTTATTTATTTTGAGACAGAGTCTGGCTCTGTCACCCAGGCTGGAGTGCAGTGGCACGATCTCGGCTCACTGCAAGCTCTGCCTCCCAGTTTCACGCCATTCTCCTGCCTCAGCCTCCCGAGTAGCTGGGACTACAGACATGTGCCACCATGCCCAGCTAATTTTTTGTATTTTTAGTAGAGACGAGGTTTCACTGTATTAGCCAGGATGGTCTCAATCTCCTGACCTCGTGATCCGCGCCTCAGCCTCCCAAAGTGCTGGGATTACAGGCGTGAGCCACTGCGCCCGGCCAAAAAATCACATTTCTTAATATCAATACCAATCTCATCAGAAAAGTCTTTTGCTATCGTGAGGGTATCAAGCCCATAACAGCACATAAAAATTTTCCAAAATTCTAATTTTTGCTCAAAAGATTGAATTTTCTCATTGACAACAAACACTCAATTGCTTTTCTTGAAGTGACAGGTGCACTTGACTCATCTGGAGAAAATGCCTGCCAAATACCCAAGGCTGAATAACGATACCTTGTCTTTCAGCTGTACTTTCAGGTAAGAAGGGTGCTCCATGAGTCAAGTGATTACTTCAGCTCACAATCACTTAAGGTTTTTTCCTCGAGAAAGTCATCATACTTTGATATGCAGCGTAACTGTTTACGCATCCTTCCCATTTTGTCACACAAAGTATTAAAAAAAATGTGTATCTAAGAGTTGAGGTTTAATAAAATGTGTAACTTCTACTACAGTTTGGTGCCACTTGCTGATTTGTGCTAGCTGTTTTACCCACTATTGCTTTTGCAGTGTCCTTGAAGATGTCAACACCATGAAGAAGGCAAATAACATCTTTATTATGATGAATGTAGTTTTAACCTGGCTGATAGGACCTCAGGGACTTCCAGGGTTTGTGGACCACACATTAAGAACTGGTGCTCTAGAGAAATTCTTGCACATATGAGCAGGAAATATCTATCAAGAATGTGCAGGGCAGTACTGTTTATAAAAGCAAAAGCCTGGAAACAACCCACATTTCTATCATTAAGGGACAAGAGAAACTGTTGGTAGATTTATATAATGGTCTACTATATAGCAGTGAATGACTATCCAGGTGAAACCACCTGGATTAATTTCAGTGTCTTAATTTGTACACCCCCAGAACAGAGTGTGAGGTGTGAGACAAGTCCTTCAGTTCAAGAGTGTATTCAGGAAACAGAAATGGGAGTGAGCAAAAAAGGAAGAAAAGTCAATAAAAGGTGCAGTATGGAACTACTTAGCACTCTGAACCACTGTGCTCAATCCCATTGGGAACACTCGGAGGAATCACATCGAATGCAGCTCAGAGCTGAAGGTGCAAGGCTGGAGCATTTTGTCTTGACTCCTCTCACTGTTATTTGTATCTCCGAGGTGTTGTGGGCCACCACAGATGTCTGCTAGACCCAAAAGCTAATGTTGAATAAAAAGGGAATCATTGGGAATTATGTACAATGGGCTCCATTTTTATAAAGTTCAAACGACATAAAAATGTATAAGGTATTGTTAGTGATATAATTATGGAGATTATGAATATGTAGTTAAGGATATTATGAAAGCAAGACAGGCGGGAAGCGTTTATCACATGTTGAAAAACAGCAAGCTTGCTTGTCAGAAGGCACATGTCAGGGTGTAGCTGGAGATAAAGACAGTGAGTTAAAGAAGGTGGCTAATTGGTGGATGTCTTTGAAACCAATCTTCCAATTTACTGTGATTTGAAAAGTAAAGGGGAAGGTTTTCAGAAAGAATGTGATAGGATCAAAATGCATCAAAGGGAATTACTATTGGCAGCATTGGAGGAAAAGGGAGCGGAGGGGCAAAAGTCCCTTATACCCAGTCAGTCATACTCAGTGGTTCCCTCACTTCTGGGAGCCTCCTCTTTGCTCTGTTCTTTTATCAGAGGCAGACAGACAGGGTGTGGCTTGCTGGTTTACAGGGACAGCTAGAAGGGAGTTCTGTGGGGGCAGAGAGAGCTCTGGCCTCTCATATTTCATAAAATATGAACTTTTCCCGGCCCACATCCCTAGGCCTTCCTGATGCACCTGCCTGCTCCCTGGTCTCGCTGCATGGGGAAGGAGAGTTCCCAGCTTGCAAACTCCAGCTTTGCCTGTGAGAGGAACAAGCATCCCTGATCCAGAAGGTGGTGAGTTCTCCCCTCTCTCTTCATGCTTTTTAGTCCTTTAACTTTCTCAGGATCCTCAGGTTCAGTAGAGAAATAATCCCCTTTTCTCCCTACACACAAGAACATTTTCAAGGGCGAAATGGGGCAGCTGTTAACTATCACTAAAGAAACACAGAAGGAGACAAGTGACAAGAGAGCTGGACGGGTTTTGTTGAAGGACTCTTATTTAAGTAGTATTGTCATCATTATTAAACTACAGCCAACATTTATTTAGCTGTTACTATTTGCTGGACCCTGTGCTGTATGCTTTTAGTCTGATCATTTGCAGATTTGCAGGGTCATATTAAACTGCTTGGGATTGTCAAGAGAACATCTGTTACAATCTTTTTTCTGATTTAGAAGTTTTAAAAATTAAACTGTTTCAAACTTCAAATGTAAATAAGTGCCTAGGGGAAAATGTTTCCAACATGTGTAGTGGAAAAAAATGGTTAGTATATGAAGAATTTTGCAAGCCATTAAGAGATAAATGTCCTAATAGAAAAAAGAACAAATTACATAGACAGGTAATTGACAAAGTCCAAATAACAGGTGGGTAATCAAAGAAATACAAATTGAGATGAAACACCATCAAATTAAAAAAAAAAGAGAGATGGCATTTTGTTACTCATCAAATTTGCAAATTTTTTTTTAAATGATAATATCTAGTGATGGTAAGGTTGTGGGAAAACAAGAAATTTCATATGATACTTTGGTAAATTGATATGACTTTCTGGAGGGCAATTTGTCAGTGAAGATGAAAAGTCTTCCCATTTTAAAGATGGGAAACTCAAGACCTAGGAATCTAAGTGACTTGCTTAAAGTTACAAAGTCACAGCCAGGCACGGTGGCTCATGTCTGTAATCCCAGCACTTTGGAAGGCCGAGGTGGGCAGATCATGAGGTCAGGAGTTTCAGACCATCCTGGCCAACATGGTGAAACCCAATCTGTACTAAAAATACAAAAATTAGCTGAGCGTGGTGGTGCACGCCTGTAGTCCCAGGTACTCGGGAGGCTGAAGCAGGAGAATTGCTTGAACCTGGGAGGCGGAGGTTGCAGTGATCTGAGATCGTGCCACTGCACTTCAGCCTGGCGGCAGAGCGAAACTCCGTCTCAAAAAAAAAAAAAGTTACAAAGTCACAGAGCAGTAAGGGACCAAGCCAAGACTAGGACTAAGCCCTCTGATTCTAGCCCTCAATCCACTGCCACTTATAGCAATGTTTATAATAGCCATGTATTGGAAAACAACCTAAATATCCACAATATAGAATTATTTTAAAGCTTTTACATCTTATATCCTAATTTCTAAAATTCTGTGTCCATGACGGAATCCTAAAGTCATGGAAAGAAGATTTGATTGCTTTGGGAAATGCACATAATATTGCATTATGTGAAATTGGTGAAAATATCAGGTATCAAAACAGTGTATAAGTATTTATTTATTTATTTAAGACAGGGTCTTGCTCTCTTGTCCAGACTGGAGTGCAGGTGTGCGATCATGGCTTACTGCAGCCTCAACCTCCTGTGCTCAGGTGATCCTCCTACCTCAGCCTCCCAAGTAGCTGGGACCACAGGCACACACCACCATAGCCAACTGATTTCTTTTTGTATTGTTTGTAGCAATAGGGGTTTGCCATGTTGCCCAGGCTGGTCTCAAACTCCTGGGCTCAAGCAATCTTCCTGCCGCTCAAAGTGCTGGGATTATAGGCGTAAGCCATTGTGCCCAGTCATGGTGGTTTTTTTTTTTTTTACAAAAAGTTATGTACATGCATAGAAATAATATTTGTAGAAACATTATCTTTGGGTGGAGGAATTACAGATGATTTGAAATTTTTGTCCTTGTTTTGGATCATTTCCAGATTTTCCTACAATAAGTAAGATAGAAAAAGCTCCAAACTGTGGCATATACATTGAACTTTAGGAAGTGAAATCGTATTTTATATTTGTTGGGGAAAATGTCTTTGTAAAGGGGTTCCATGATAATCACTCTGTAAAGTGAGGTGGTCATTTGCTCATTTTGTAACTCATGATACAGTGCTATGCAGGCATGCATTCATTCATCTGTTTATTCATTATGAATGAATGTTATTCATGCATCTGTTAATGTTTTACATTCTATCTGCTTCCAGAAAGGATCCTGGCAATTCACTTGCATGGTACCCTGAAGTGTGTATGATTGCCTTTCCTGTTCTAAGTGTAAAAGAGAATAATACCTACTTTTCTGAGATGTTGTCAGTACTGAAGACAATATATAGAGAGAACCAACAAATGCAATAAATAAGAACTGTTATTGATTTAGAGCAATATCATCATTTGGAAACATATTTATGATTTAGTGTTAATTCACAGCCATTAATACTATGTTGACTACTGTAATATTGATATATTACGTGTTAGAAGAGATGGAGGAAGGGGCCATCCTGGCAAACTAGATTAGAAGAATAAATCCTAGAGGTCAGTATGGTGACCAGATGGTTCTTACATCTGTGTAAGAAAATATGAAATAAAGGACCTGGTAGCACGTCTTACATAGAGTGACAATCTAACAGAAGGACTTCATTTGGTTTTTATTTCCAGTATCTGGTGCAAATCATTTTACATGTGTTTTCTTTGATCCCTACTATAACCCTATCTATGAGGTATGCACTATTATTAACTCCATTTCATGTGCGAGCAAGAGGAGGTTTGGAGAAGTAAATTAACCTGTCTAAGGTCACCAGCTAGGAAATGGCGGAGCCAGGAATTGAACCCAGGCTGACTCTAGAGCTCATTCTTTTTATTTATTTATTTATTTTTTGAGACAAGGTCTTGCTCTGTCACCCAGGTTGGAGTGCAGTGATACAATCACAGCTCACTGCAGCCTCAACCTCCCAGACTCAAGTAATCCTCCCACTTCAACCTCCTGAGTAGCTAGGACTACAGGTGCGTGCCACCATGCTAAGCTAATTTTCTTTTATTTTTTGTAGAGATGGAGTCTCACTATGTTGCCCAGGCTAGTCTGTAACTCCTGAGCTCAAGTGATCCTCCTACCCTGGCCTCCCAAAAGTGCAGGGTTATAGGCATGAGCTACCATGCCCAGCCTAAAGCTTACCCTCTTAACCACTTCATAGATTGTCTGAATCTTAGAATATGGGTCCATAGAGGTCTCCTCCTATTCGATTTCAGGCAGCCTTGGGTTAGCTTGGAGCTCTGTGTCACTCCGGGCATGTCTACCCAGGCAGGGTGTGCTTCAGAGTCACTAGAAAGTTGAGGGGTTTTGGGAATAACTCCAGGGAATCCTGGGCCCTACTTCCACCTTCAACCATACTTGATAAAATAGAGAGCTTTTCTCATTTACTCCACTTCTCTTGTCCAGTTTTTGAGTAGCTAGTAACCTATAGGAAAGTGGGTGGGACAGTCACAAAAAAATGTGTCCTAATGTGATCCTAACCTCACTATGGCCTGGTGCTATGTTGTCATTTGATTAGAGGGGTATGTTGTATAAAATATGATTTAAAGAAAGACAAGAACAACCCTAAACCAATGTGCTTTTTGCCGTGAGAAAACAGAATTGGGTTTTCAAAATGAGAATGTGTTCAATACTAGCTTCATCTTCAGTTTCCCAGTCTCCCTTTGACACGTCCTCTGTGTGTCATGACCTTTTCCATGACCTTCAGGGACTGGGCCTGCTGACTCATACAAAAGCCTCCTCTTTGGAAAGGATTTGAACCTTGGAGAGAATTTAAGAGATGAGTTGCCTTTTCCTAGAGCATTTACATTTTAAACTTTATCCTCACTTGTGGCATGAGAGATTCTGTTTCCTGCTAAAGCAATTTCAGGCAGTAGCAAATAGGTGGGAAAAGAGCTTTACAGGAGGAAATCCTTTAGGGTCTCCCTGTGGTTCATGCACGCAGTCATCTGAACCTGCTAGGGATAATTTTCCTCACTTAGTTAGTAGTAATAACAACAACTACACACTTATGAGCACTTGTTCTGCCAAGCATTTGTGGCCAGAGCTTGGCAGGCAGTATCTCTTTGAACCCTCACACTCATCTGTGAGGACAGTTCCCCTTTATAGATTAAGAACCCAAGGCCCAGAGATGTTATGCAACCTTCCTAGGGACACAGAGCTAGTAATAGGCAGAGCTAAGATTTGAACCCAGGTCTTTGTAGTGCCAGACCCTGAATGTGTACGATTAGTGCCTTCAGGATGACATGGAGGGACCTCACTGCCTTGATCTGTTATTTGTCAAGAGTCAAACTTGAAAAGGCTGTCCAGGGAAACCTCCAGGCTGCATCTTGGGCAAAGATTGGCTTGAAACAGGCACTTCCCAAGCCTGGCCTTGGACACTAACTGTAAAAAGAGGCCATTAGTGGTGTTTCTTTGGTTAGTTCTGGATATAAGTTCTGGATCCTCACACATCTCATCTGCACCGTCATCCTCACTCACGGCATTTAGAGACTTAACACGCCAGCCTCCGTGTGAGCATTCACCTCTTTCAACCCTCACCATAATCCCACAAGGAGGCACAGTTCTTATACCCATTTTGGAGATGAAGAAACAGAGTCTCAGAGAAGTTCGGTCACAATATCACAAGAAGGTAAGTAGCAGTGCTGGGACTGGAGCCCCTGCCTTTGTGATCCCAGAGCACCAGCAATACCGTCTCGGCCTCGGCTCCTGGGTTATACCCTCTGTCATGCCAAGCCCATCAGCCCGCCTGTGCTGTCTCCCTCTGTCTGTCCTAGTTCGGATGGAGATGGCGAGTTCTGCTGGCTCCTGGCTCTCTGGCTGCCTCATTCCTCTCCTCTTCCTCCGGCTGTCTGTGCATGTGTCAGGTAGGAGTTTCTGATCCTCTTTCCCTGCCTGGTACATGTGACGTTGGCATCCCCAGAATAAAGAAGCTGAGTTGGAAACATTACGTCTTTTGGGGTTCTGTTCCCCCGGCCCTGGCAATCCTTTCCAGAGTCCTTCCTGGGCTCTGTCAGTCCCCGGGATACCCGCTTCCTCATCCTTTCCCAAGCTTTCTCCTGCCCTCCCTCCCAGTTGGCCTTGTCTCTTTCTTTGTCCAGGCCGCGCAGGGGATGCCAGCAAGTTCCACATGGCCTTACTAGGGGGCACAGCCGAGCTGCTCTGTCCTCTCTCCCTCTGGCCTGGGACGGTGCCCAAGGAGGTGAGGTGGCTGCGGTCCCCATTCCCGCAGCGCTCCCAGGTTGTTCACATGTTCCGGGATGGGAAGGACCAGGATGAAGATGTGATACCGGAATATAAGGGGAGGACGGTGCTGGTGAGAGATGCCCAAGAGGGAAGTGTCACTCTGCAGATCCTTGACGTGCGCCTTGAGGACCAAGGGTCTTACCGATGTATGATCCAGGTTGGAAATCTGAGTAAAGAGGACACCGTGATCCTGCAGGTTGCAGGTTAGAATGGGTTTGAGGTGCCTAGGGTCATTTGTGGCAGTTGGGCAAGCCCAGTCAGGACCTACTTTGTCTCTCCATGTCTAGACTTTTTTTTCATTTGCAATGTAGTTTTTACTTGCCAGGACGGCTCAGCCTTACCCAGCCATGTCCATTGATCTCAGCTGAAGCGGTGAAGCTGGCCCAGGCATTTCTGATAAGGAAGGAACTCAGACTTTGGAAAACACTGTACAATGCAGGTCCTGGTTAAATAGGGCTTGGAGGATCAGATAATAGCTTTTCCTCCCTGGGTCATCTTTGTATGCTCCACTATCAAGGAACTCATTACATGGCTGTAAGGAAATGTCTTCAAGGGACAGATCCCCTGCTGTGACAAGGATTTACTTAATGGGTCCTCTCCTGGGGTTCCTGAGAACGTAAAGGGTTAGGAAGGGAAAGACAGTGTTTCTCTCTCTCTCTGTCTCTTTTTTTTTTCTGTTTGTTTTGAGACAGGGCCTTGCTCTGTTGCCCAGGCTGGAGTGCAGTGGTGCAATCATAGGTCACTGTAGCCTCGACCACCTGGGCTCTAGTAATCCTGCCATCTCAGCCTCCCAAGTAGCTGGGACTACAGGTATACTACTATGCCTGGCTAAATTTTTTTTTACTTTTAGTAGAGACAGGGTCTCCCTATGTTTCCCAGACTGCTTTCCAATCCAGCAATCTTCCCCGCTTGGCCTCCCAAAGTGTTGACATTACAGGTATAAGCCACTGCAGCCAGTTGAGAGTGTTCTCAAACTAGCTTCAATATTTTTTTAAAAAATAGCCTACTGAAAATCAGTCCACCAAAAATCAGTCTACCAATATTTTAAAAAATCAGTCTACCAACCCAAACCCAACTCAACCCAACCCAAAACATGTCTTTGCATTTGCTTGAATGACACTGGCTTCACATGGTCACATGCTGATTATCTTTTGGTCCTAATTTGAAGTTGCACACCATGAAGTGGGGATGAATCAATTACTTTAAAACACTCAGTAGTTGGTAGACAGACTTTCCAAAGTTGGAGTCCTTTGGGGTGAAAAGTAATTTTTTTTTTTTTTGAGATGGAGTTTCGCTCTTTTTGCCCAGGCTGGAGTGCATTGGCACAATCTTGGCTCACTGCAACTTCGCTTCCTGGGTTCAAGTGATTCTCCTGCCTTAGCCTTCTGAGTTAGCTGGGATTACCGGTGCCTGCCACCACAGCTGGCTAATTTTTCTTTTTTCTTTTTTTTTTTTTTTTTTTTTGAGACGGAGTTTCGCTCTCATTGCCCAGGCTGGAGTGCAATCTTGACTCACCACAACCTCCACCTCCCAGGTTCAAGGGATTCTCCTGCCTCAGCCTCCTGAGTAGCTGGGATTACAGGCATGTGCCACCACGACTGGCTAATTTTTGTATTTTTAGTGGAGGCGGGGTTTCTCCATGTTGGTGAGGCTGGTCTCAAACTCCCAACCTCAGGTGATCCACCCGCCGCGACCTCTCAAAATGCTGGGATTACAGGCATGAGCCACCATGCCTGGCTGAAAAGTAATTTTTAAAAGGGGACTGAGATGCCCAAAGGCATCTGAATCATGTGATACAGTTATTGCTATGGGTGAATTTTTAAATGTCTGAGAATAAAGCTAGAGATTGGCTTATCCTACTGGGAGGAGTGTGGGGAGAGGGTGGAGAGAGGACAGACATTCAAGTTTCATTAACAGCTGCCCCTGTTCATCACAGGAGGTTATGGGGGAAGAGGGCTTTGGCTGGGACCACACCCTGGCGGAGGCCCTGCTGATGTGTAGATAGGTGGGATGGTTCCCAGAGCCTTGGGCCAAGTGGAGAGAACCTTAAGGCAGGGTACTTCCATCCCCGTCAGAGGCCCACTCTCTGGAAAAGCTGGGCTCTTCCAAACAGCGGTGTCTAGCAGAGTCAGGGACAGCACACTGGGGAATGTGTCCTAAACCATCCGCAAAATGGCCTTTGGCCAAGAGAAGACCACAGCCGCAGTCATAGCAAGTAAAAGCTGGGGCAGAAACAGGTTTGAAGGCTGTGGTTCCAGAAAAGAAACTCCTACCCTAGTAGGAACTTTTCGAGGAATTTTCAATTTTTTATATTCTAGGAATAAAGCATGTATATTGTAGAAAATTTGAAAAAAATCCAAAATACTTAAAGGAAACTGAAAAATGGCCTATAATAGCTTAAATTAGAGAGGACTGCTGCTAACATTTTTGTATCTTTCTTGTAAGACTTTATTGTGTATATGTATCTCTGAGCATGTATATGTTTATGCATGTGTATTCTTGTGCCCAGGATTTTTTTCCAGTTATGATGTCATGAGCATTTGGTTTTTTTTGCCCATGTCCCTAAGTAATATGATTTTAAGGGCTGCATAGTATTTTACTATGTGGCTATAGTATAATAAAATTAATCAAAGCCCTGTTTTGGGGCATCTGGATGCTTTCCAAATATTCCTCATATTATAATTAAGAGTGCAATGAACATCTTTGAGCATATTTTGGAAAGTGATTTTGATTTTTTTTTTTTTTTTTTTTTAGAATGTGCTTCTGGAAGTAGAATTAATGGATCAAAGGGTTCAAACCTTTTATTTATTTTTTCTTTTTTATTTATAATAAAGATGAGGTCTCACTATGTTGCCCAGGCTGGTCTCAAACTCCTGAGCTGTAGTGATCCTCCTGCTTCAGCCTCCCAAAGTGCTAGGATTACAGGTGTGACTCACCACACCTGGCCTGAACCTTTTAATGATCCTTGAAACAAACTGGAGACCAGCCTGGCCAACATGGCAAAACCCTGTCTCTACCAAAAATATACAAAAATTAACCGGGCATGGTGGCATGTGTGTGTAATCCCAGCTACTTAGGAGGCTGAGTGCTTTATATGACTGACCTCTTTAAATCTCTCCAAACTTCAGAGATAAGGAGTCCTGTCATGCACACCTTTTACAGATGAGGAACACTGGGCTTGGAGGGGCTCAGTCTCCTGCTTCAGGTCACACAGCATTGAGCAAGGACACACCCCCGGCTTAGGCTCCTAACCACTTCTACCCATAGCCCGCTTCTGCTCATTTCTTCTCCTCTATTTCCTCTTTCTTTTCCCCTTTCTCTCCTGCCTAGGCTTCAGGCCTACTGCTGTAGCATGGTAGAAATTGCTTTGCCCCTGTCACAGTGCTCAGGGCAAACAAAGAGGTTGCTGCCTGCTCTTCTAGCGCAGAGTGGGTACTGACAGGCGTAAACAGGCAGGTGCTCCTGGGAAGACTGCAGGTGCGTAGTGAGGAGAATGCTTTCAGTCTTCTGAAGTCCCTGGCTTATTTTTCCATGGAATTATAGGGCAGGATGAGATTGTGGTCAAGAAGTTTGTTTAAGTCATCATCTTGAGGCAGGACCATCGAAACCATTCCCGGGAGAGGAACATCTCAGTTATCTTTTTTTTTTCTTGAGATGGAATTTCACTCTTGTCACCCAGGCTGGAGTGCAATGGCGTGACCTTGGCTCACTGCAACCTCTGCCTCCCGGGTTCAAGGGATTCTCCTGCTTCAGCCTCCTGAGTAGCTGGGATTACAGGCACCCGCCACCACACCTGGCTAATTTTTTCTTTTTTTGAGACAGAGTCTTGCTGTGTTGCCCAGGCTGGAGTACAGTGGCGCCATCTCGGCTCACTGCAAGCTCCGCCTCCCGGATTCACGCCATTCTCCTGCCTCAGCCTCCTGAGTAGCTGGGACTACAGGCGCCCACCATCATGCCTGGCTAATTTTTTGTATTTTTAGTAGAGACGGGGTTTCACTGTGTTAGCCAGGATGGTCTCGATCTCATGACCTTGTGATCTGCCCGCCTTGGACTCCCAAAGTGCTGGGATTACAGGCATGAGCCATCACACCTGGCCCCCACACCTGGCTAATTTTTGTATTTTTAGTAGACACGGAGTTTCCCCACATTGGCCAGCTAGTCTTGAACTCCTGATCTCAGATGATCCTCCTGCCTCTGCCTCCCAAAGTGCTGGTATTACAGGTGTGAGCCACCATTCCCAGCCTCAGTTATCTTTAATGCCATCCAGGGCTTGAGTTATCACGAGAAGCAAAGAGCCTCTTGGCTGGAGGTCTCTCCCTAGAGGTGATGGAGACAGGTGGGATGTGCCGGAGCCGCCTGCCATCTGAGGCATGCCAGAAACTCTTGGACATCTCCCTGATGTCAGTCGTTGGTGGTTTCTGTTTCAGCCCCATCTGTGGGGAGTCTCTCCCCCTCAGCAGTGGCTCTGGCTGTGATCCTGCCTGTCCTGGTACTTCTCATCATTGCGTGTCTTTGCCTTATCTGGAAGCAAAGAAGATCAAAAGGTAATTAAGTGGTAAGGGAGCTCAGGCTGGTGGGAAGTGGGACTGTGACTGCTCTGGGAAAGGGCCAGACGGAAGTAGATGTAGACATGACACTTGTCCATAGGTTGGGGACCCTGCAAGCTGGCTGGGAGAAAGCTGGTAGAGCCGTGCTGTGGGGACACACATTGCAAAGGGAGTTCAATAAACTGCAGAAAGGCCCCTTGGCAGAGCTGTAAATTCTCATCCTTTGAAAAATTAGAAAATAACCGACTATGCCAGCCTTCTGATTAAGAAATTAATTACAGCCTTTTAATAAAGAAATCCAATTATATCCATTGGATAAGACTCTCATAAAAAATGGTCACATTTCACAGGCTCTCAGGGCTGCAAGGGACTTTGAAAGTCACAGTCACATAATCCAACACTCCTCCCCTTATCTGATGGTTTGAAGACTCTGTAATCCTTTCAAATGCCAGCTTACCTGTAGTGACAAGGAGTCAGTCCTACTCAGGCAGCTTGGTGCATCTTGGGACACTTGTGCCTGTTAGAAAAAGGCCTTCCTAAGCTGAGCTGACATTTCTCTCTCCCTTTTAGAGAAACTTCTCTATGAACATGTGACGGAGGTGGGTAAGTGTTCTTGGCTGGGGGGCAGGGGAAATGTTTATTTTGTTGTTAATTTCTGTACCCCCATACTCACTAACCTGGATTCTGTTTCTGAAAATTCCATTATCTGCTATCCTTGATGATGGTGGCAATGTCTAAACCCATTGCTTCCAGTGTTTACTGCCTCTTACTTGTAATAGCTTGCCTTCCTGTATGTTTCATGAGTTTTGCCTGTGAGCTCATTGCTTGATCTTATTCTGTGGGAGTTGAGTAGGTTGAACATGGGGGAAGCTTTTATTTGTTCAACAAATACTTGATAATTATCTGCTAAATGCCCTGGACAATACTAGATTCTGGGGATAAAATAGTGAGTAAAAGCAGACAGATTTTTGCCCTCCTGGAGCTTTCAGTGTAGTCAGGGAGATGAGATGAATTAAATAGTTACACAAATAATGTGTACAAATGCTACACAAGAAAGCTCCTGGTTCTGTGAAGGCTATGACCAGAACGAACTAACCAAGCTTGAGGGTTGAGGGTGTGAAGTTTGTCCTGAATGACTAGAAGTCATGAGTGAAGAGGGAGTGGAAAACCATCCACCGCAGAAAGAACGGCTTCAGAGAGAAGCATGGTCGGGGAAAGCAGCACTCACTGGGGAGCTGAGGAGGTACAGAAGCGAGGGGAAAAGTGGCAGGGGTGAGGCTGGGGAGCTAGGCAGGGCTGGGCCTCCTGAGGCCTGGTGGGCCACATTCAGGATTTTAGTCATTCTCGGAAGAGCAGTGGTAAAGCAAGGAATGGGGATATCAGATGGAATTGTGCTTTGAAAAGCTTGGCTGGGTGCAGTGGCTCACGCCTGTAATCTCAGCACTTTGGGAGGCTGAAGAGGGTGGATCACCTGCGGTCAGGAGTTCAGGCCCGGCCTGACTAACACGGCGAAACCCTGTCTCTCTTAAAAATACAAAAATTAGTGGAGCATGGTGGTACATGCCTGTAATCCCAGCCACTCAGGAGACTGAGACAGGAGAATTGCTTGAACCCCAGAGACGGAGGTTGCAGTGAGTTGAGATCATGCCACTGCATTCCAGCCTGGGCCAAAGAGGAAGACTCTGGTTTTTTTTTTTTTTTTTTAAAAAAACAAAAAAAACCAAAACTGGCTGGGCACAGTGGCTCACGCCTGTAATCCCAGCACCTTGGGAGGCTGAGACGGGCAGATCACGAGGTCAGGAGATTGAGACCATCCTGGCTAATATGGTGAAACCTCATCTCTACTAAAAATACAAAAAAATTAGCTGGGCATGGTGGTGGACACCTGTAGTCCCAGCTACTTGGGAGGCTGAGGCAGGAGAATAGTGAACCTGGGAGGCAGACCTTGCAGTGAGCCGAGATGGTGCCACTGCACTCCAGCCTGGGAGACAGAGCGAGACTCCATCTCAAAAAAAAAAGAAAACGGAACAATTCTCTCTGGCTGCAGTGTTTAGTAGAGACCAGTGGGAGTAAGACAGGATGTGGGAGACAATTTGGGCTGCCATTTCTGTTGTGCAGATGAGAGTTGATTCGAGACCGGATCAGGGAGGTGGAGGTGAAAATAGAGGTGGACACATCCAAGGGCAGGTAAAATCAACAGGAACCAGGGACCCTCAAGGAAGTGGCAAAAAATCTCATTATCTTTTCCTTTCTTCCTCTAGACAATCTTCTTTCAGAGCATGCTAAAGAAAAAGGTAACGATATATAAAGAGTAAGGGGTAGGGAACAAAAAACACATTCTTTATTTTCTATGTAAATGTTGACAGTCATTATTATAAGTCTATTATTATAATACTGTACACACATGCACACATATACTCTCCATTGATATTACTGGAATTTAGTTTGCAATGTCAAGGGGCTGTGGAGCTGGTGGCAGTGGGTGAGGAGGTGTCTGGGTCAAAATTCATAGGCCTAGATTACCATAAATTCCCTTCATTAGCCTTTCCGCCAGTCATTTTAAAAAGAAGTCTACTTATTATTGAAAAGTATATTAATGTGGTCATATGGGATGTATGGGAATTTCAAGAATCCACACAACCTTTGCATAGAGAGAGGTGGTATGATACAAAGGAAGGGTCGCAGGCTCTGGGGTCAGTGACACCTCAGATCATTGGTCTGCCACTTACTGTCCTTGAATAAGTCACTTTACTGCTCTGGGTTTTGGTTTCCTCATCATCAAAATGCAGATAACTTCCCCTTACCCGATTGTTTTCAGTGTTAAAACAGGCAACCTTAAAAAAAAAAAAAAGAAACCTGTCACAGTGCCTGGAACTCCTTTTCCTTATTGCCATTTTGTCTTCATTAATTGGACATTTACTGTGGGCCACTGAGGGTCAAAGTTGGACACCTTGTTGAAGTCTATCTGGGAAGACAAGTCACTGGCTCAGATGACTCCAGATTCAATTATTTCAGCATCTCCTCTCTTCCCTCCTTACATCTCCTCCAACCCGGTACAAGTGTGGCATGTATCTGGCAGACACTGGCTGTTCTGCTCAAGCAGGGAGGGAACAATGTGGGGTGAGGGCGAGGGCCTCCGACTCAGAAATCAGACAGACTTAGATTGAATCCCACCTTCTTGGTCACTTACTAGTTGAAAGACCTTGGGCAAATTTTGTGTCCCTTTGAGCCTCAGACCACCCCCCTAGAAAATGGCAATAATAATTCTAGGCACCTCACATTGTTGAGGATTGAGTGCCTACTTCAGTATAAGCACAGAAGACAGTAAGTGGAAGCTGTTAGTAGTGGAGATAGTGACAATAAACCATAAGCTACTTAGGAGCCGTGTCGTATTCGGCTGCATTTCTTCAATGCCTAATGCCTAATACATGCCTGGCCCTTAGCACGGGGACTGGTGGTGGACTCAGGATGTAGAACTTCAATTGTCCAGCAGGGTAGGGGGAAATGTGGGCCACGTGGCCCTCCAGAGAAGCCGCAAGTACTCCCCGGAAACATATGTCTCATACACATATATCCCCAAATCCTCTGGGACCTCCAATTTGTGAAATTTATAACCTCAGGGGAGTTACTGTAGAGAATAATAAAGCCATATTAACAAGTTCATGCTAGGCCTTTGGCCAGTTTTACATTTAGATACCAGAAACGGTGGGCTATAAAAGGACAGCAGTGCATACACTCATGTACCAGTTACAAACATATAGAAACACTCATGCAGACAGCAGAAATGAAACCAGACAGATGAAAAGGAGGGGAAGGGGAAGGAGGAACCAAAGTCCAGGGCAGGCTGGGTCACTGAGGGAGTGTCACCAGCACCATCAGATTTCTGGGTCTGAACTCTGGGACACAGAGCTGGGACTAGGGACATAGAAGCGTCACCATCATTTTAATCTTCTGGGGTAGAGTGATGAGGCTTCCACAGCCCGAGGAAAAAGAGGCAGGATCTGATCACTCACTCCTCTCTCTCTTTCTGGTTTTTAGGAAAACTCCATAAAGCTCTCAGTAAGTTCTGCTCCTCATCCATGGCACAAGCTCCTTCTGCTGACACCTTTGCTTTAGGATGAGCATCTCAGTTTCACTTCCTGGGGCAGAAGGGAGGGGGTAAGGGTAATTCAAGCCAAGGGGACTGGGGCTTCCTTGGCTCTCCAAGGTCTCTTTTCTCAAGTATTCTCTGCTCCTCTTTCCTACACAACTGTTATTTAGTCTTTAAATTGAAAAATGTTTCACCAAGAAGAGACAGATGCACCTCCCATAGGTGAAGCCATCTGGAAGTCCCTTTTATCACCCAGGCATGAAATTTCCTTAGATGGGGTCCAAGAGGATGGGATCCTCATTAAACTGAATATGCTGGAGCAGTACTTCTCCATCATTTCATGTGTGAGGACCTCTTTTTATCATTTAAAAAAATCTGGCCAGGTGCAGTGGCTCACGCCTGTAATCCCAACACTTTGGGAGGCCAAGGCAGGTGGATCACTTGAGGTCAGGAGTTAGAGACCAGCTTGACAACATGGTGAAACCCTGTCTCTATTAAAAATACAAAATTGGCTGAATGTGATGGTGCACACCTGTAATCCCAGCTACTTGGGAGGCTGGGGCAGGAGAATCACTTGAACCTGGGAGGCAGAGGTTGCAGTGAGCCGAGATTGCACCATTGCATTCCAGTCTGAGCAACGAGAGTGAAACTCTGTCTCACAATAAAAATAAAAATAAAAATAAAAATAAAAATAAAAATAAATCTGTAGACATGTGACATATCTATGCATCACTATATTGAGAAAATATACAAGATCACAAAGTCCAATACTCAGTGATAGTCTTAAATGAAGTAATATTTCCTACAACATCTACATACATTTATGTTGTCATTACCTGTAGGTGTGAGATGTGTTATTTATTTAGCCTGCAGATAAGGTTTGGCTCACATAGGAATTTGCTGATCCTCTGCAGTATCTCTGGGGATACTCCCATGGTCCACAGCTGGGATCTATTGCTCTTGCAAATTCTTCTGGGGAAGTTCCAGGGTATGGCTATTGAGTATCTATCTGCCCGTGGTTGGGATGGGACTGTGGCATTATGGGAGGGCCTCTATGTAGAGGCCCTCCTTCTGATTTGCCAAATTGTTTTCATTCTTTAGAGAAACTCCGGCGTGAACTGAGTAAGTTTCCCATGTTCTTCTAACTTCCGTATCAACTTATCTCTTGTTGCCCTAATATTTCCAGTGATAGCTCATTCCCCTTGTTTCTTCTTTCATAGAGCTGAAAAGAGCTGCAGCAAACTCAGGTGAGATGCACTTCCTCCACGTTTGACCACCACTCTATGGGAGTTCTTAATGTCTCCAGTGTTTTAATGATCCCTTTTTCTCATTTTTCAGGCTGGAGAAGAGCCCGGTTGCATTTTGGTAAGTTATAACAATCAGATAGATCCACATTTCAGAGCACATCCTCCTTATGGCTTTGTAACCTTAGATTTTGTTTCATTCCTCTGGAATGCATGTCATTTAACATTTTTAAAATCAAATCTGTATATCTGCCTATCAAATTAAAAAAATCTTTGTGATCGATTTTAGGTCGTATTTAGATTTAGAAAGTATCCCCTCTTTTAGAGCGCTGATAAATATTAAGTTTGGTCTTCTTAGGTTTTCTGTGATTTTTGAGATTTTTCCTATGTTTATCGGTTATTTGTATTTCTTCTTTGTGTGACTTTCTGTTCCTGTTCTATTTGGGCTATTTTTTTATTTGTGAGGACTCTTTCTAGATAAAGTATATTAGCTCTCTGTCATATTTGTCACCAATTATTTTTCATTTGCATTTCCTTATAGTATTTTTCTGATACATGCGTGTTTTATTTTTACGTAGTCAAATGCATTCATCTTTTCCTATGTACATGCTTTCAGGTTTGGGAAGTCCTTCCTGTCCCACAACCAGATAAACAGCCACTGCTTCCACCTCTTTCTACACATATGCTTTTTCTTCTTTCTCTGCAGACCAATTTGCTTAGGGGTGGTGATTAAGATTCTCAGAGAAGAAGGGAATGGGTTGAGCAGATGTCCCAACAGTATACATTATGAAAAGATTTGCACCTCTCTTTCAATTTATTCCTAAATAGTTTGCATTTTTTGCTGCTGTTCAAATGGGATCTGTTTTTTTTTTCACTGCTCTGGGATCTTTATCAATTTTCTAGGCTTTTATCCTTCTCCTGTTCACACCATCTTCCTTCAGGCACAGTACAACGAATTATGAGTTGGCCACTGGAAAGAACTCCAGGTCACCTTGGCTGGCATTCTGGGAACATACAAACCCTTCTGTCTCACATTTACAGTCTGGCTTTTTGCCATCACCTCAACTGCGTACAGACTTAACTCTCCAAGAAGAGCCTGTTTGCTGTATTTCGGGAAGGAAGGAGACTCACTGTGACACTCATAATCCACAATTTTAAGGAAGAATCCTTCTCTCTATATTAACATTTAAAAATAATAATTTAGTCCTACCTACTTGGGAGGCTGCAGTGGGAGGTTCACCTGAGGCCAGGAATTCAAGGCTGTAGTGTGTTATGACTGCATGCCCATGAATACCTACTGCATTCCATCCTGGGCAACATAGTGAGACCCTGCCTCAAATAAAATAAAATAAAATAAAATAAAATAAAATAAAAATAAAGCAGATAATTATAAGTAATAATTTTAGGTGACAAAAGAACATCATGTACTCACTGTAGGAATGAGGCACTATCTCATTAGTTCATCAAGTCTGCGCAATAGCTCTACAACACAGGTTCTGTTACTATTTCCATTTTACAGATGAGGAAACTAAGGTTCAGAGATGAATAACAAGCCCAAGGTCACATAACTAGCATGTGGCAGAGCTGGGATTCAAATATGCTATGTGGCTACAGGACCTAACATCAAACCCTATATTTATCATCACACATTTGATTCTTTTGGAACATCAAAGACAAAGGTAGTGTCTTACTCTATTTTCTGTTGCTGTAACAGAATACTTGAGACTGGGTAATTTACCTAGGAAAGAGGTTTATTTAGCTTATGGTTCTCGGGGCTGGATGGTCCAAGATTGGGTGACTGCATCTGGTGAAGGCCTTGTGCTACTTCATAGTATGGTAATAGTTGCTTCTGGAAAAACAGAAGGGCAAGTGAGTGCCTGCAAAAGCAGAGAGGAGACAAAGTGCCTGATCTTCTTTATCACAACCCACTCTCCAGAGAAATAAACCCAGTCTTGTGAAAACTGTATTAATCCCTTTGTGAGGGACCAAACACCTCCCACTAAGCCCTACCTCTGAACACCGCAGCAATGAGGGATTAAGGTTCCAACACATGAACTTCTGAGGGACACACTTAACTCACAGCAGGTAGTTATTTCCTAAGGATTAAGGCAGCTTCACAGACAGATGAAAAAGAACTTTTTCTTCTATTACCTAGTAATTGACCAGGAGACCTGTTCTTTGAAAGAGAAAATTCTTTGATTCCAGTACACATGGTGGGGGCGGGAATCCGTGAACTAAAATGGGCTAATGACAGTGATGGCAGACCTAAATATTTTTTTTCCCTCCAAAGCTATCCCCACATCCCTTAAGACCTACGCTTCCAAGCCTCACCTGTCTATGTCTCTTTGCAGTGGCAGTGACCCTGGACCCAGAAACAGCACATCCCAAACTCATCCTTTCTGACGACCAAAGATGTGTAAGGCTTGGAGACAGAAGGCAGCCTGTACCTGACAACCCCCAGAGATTTGATTTCGTCGTCAGCATCCTAGGCTCTGAGTACTTCACAACTGGCTGCCACTACTGGGAGGTGTATGTGGGAGACAAGACCAAATGGATTCTTGGGGTATGTAGTGAGTCAGTGAGCAGGAAGGGGAAGGTTACTGCCTCACCTGCCAATGGACACTGGCTTCTGCGACAGAGTCGTGGGAATGAGTATGAAGCTCTCACATCGCCGCAGACCTCCTTCCGCCTTAAAGAGCCTCCACAGTGTGTGGGGATTTTCCTGGACTATGAAGCAGGAGTCATCTCTTTCTATAATGTGACCGACAAGTCCCACATCTTTACTTTCACCCACAGTTTCTCTGGCCCCCTTCGCCCTTTCTTTGAACCTTGCCTTCACGATGGAGGAAAAAACACGGCACCTCTAGTCATTTGTTCAGAACTACACAAATCAGAGGAATCAATTGTCCCCAAGCCAGAAGGGAAAGGCCATGCTAATGGAGATGTGTCCCTGAAGGTGAACTCTTCCTTACTACCCCCGAAGGGCCCAGAGCTGAAGGATATAATCCTGTCCTTGCCCTCTGACCTTGGCCCAGCCCTTCAGGGGCTCAAGGTTCCTTCTTTTTAGGGATATGCCACATTACCTGCTCCCATCACCACCCAGCCCAGCACCCTGGACTTCAGTCTCCTGGTCCAACCCCATGATTCTGGAACGTCTCTTCTCCTTAACCCAATCCAGACCCTTTTGTGGTTTCTATTTGTACCACTTTTCTCCCAGAACTCAGTTCTGAAGCTTGCCTTTCTTCTAAGGAATTGAAGTTCCCAGTGACCTGAAGGGAGGATTCCTGGAAACCAATCAGTTTAGGTGTAGGTGGAGATGTTGAATATGTGTTACCAAGATATAGCACAGGTTCAGGGGAAAGAGTTCTCTACTCCAGGGGTTATTTAGAAGACACTTTCTCTGCCTCATCCTGCCCTCAAGCTTTAGTCAAGAAGTTATGGCCCCCAGTCCCTGACTTCTTACCCCATCAAGGGCTGCTTTTCTCTCTTTCTCTCTCTCAGTTCTGGCCTCTGGCCCCCAAAGTCAGCTTTCTAAAAGCAAGCATGTTTTAGACCACTCACTCTTTCCCTCTTTCTTCAGGAATGAGTTGGGGGAGGAGTAAAACACATCCTTTTCTACTCTCTTAATGCTGTCTACAATGTAGTTTGGTGATATCCAGCGCTAATGTACATGCTTTCAAAAGCTAATCTGCCTGTTGATGATAACTAGGTACAGGGACTTTAAACACAGTTGCTATAATCCTGAAAAGCCTCAGGAGCAATCAGGTTACTGGGAAGCACAGCTGCAGAGAGCTCAGCTGTGTATTGCCTTCTGACTTTGGCCCAGACCTTCAGAGGCTCAGTCTGTTGAGTCTGTTGTGACTGTCTTATGAATCAATCTTTGTGCCAGCCCTTTCTGAGATTCAGAGAGGCCCAACTAGAAAAAGTGGCAGTTTTAACCACCAACGTAGAAGCTTTCTTTTTCCCCACAAGACCATTGTACTGGAATACTTGACTGTGTAGCAAACAGCCTCTTAGGTTGGAGAGTATTGACTTCAAATAGGAAGTTGGTAAACTGGTGTGAGGATGGAATAATGACCTTGATTTTTGGGTGTGTATTGCAGAAGCCTAGTCACTTTTAAGTCACACCACATAATGAGATCTGTGGCCTAATTGTGGAGATGTTGGTTATCAGTTTGCAGATGAATACAGAGTTCTATCCAACAGAAACTGTATCTTTCTGTTTGTCAGAAGTTCTCTGTTAGTTCCTGTATTAGTCAAGGTTTTCCAGAGAAACAGAATCAATATATATGGGGGCAGGGGGGTGGTGGTTATTATAAGGAATTGGCTCACATGATTATGGAGGTGGTTAAATCCCAAGATCTGCAGGGTAAGTCAGCAAGATGGAGTCCCATGAGAGCTGATGGTTTAGTTCCAGTCTGATGGCAGCAGGCTTGACACCAAGGAAGAGCTGATGTTTAATTCAAGTCTGAAGGCAGGGAAAAAAAGCTGATGGCCCTGTCCAAAGGCTATTAGGCAGGAAGAATTCTCTTAGTCAGGGCAGAGTTAGCTCTTTTGTTCTATTCAGGCCTTTAACTGATTCCATGAGGCCCACCCACATTTGGAAGGACAGTCTGCATTACTCAGTCTACTGATTTGAATGTTAATGTCATTGAGAAACACCCTCACAGGAACACTCAGAATAATGTTTGACCAAATAACTGGGCATCTTGTGACCCAGTTAAGTTGATACAGAAGATTAACTATCACAGTGACTCAGTGGAATTGTTTGCTTTTGTACAGTTTTAAAATAAAAGTTTGGTATTTGTGTTTTGGTATGCTGTTATTTTCATTGCCAATGAAGAGTTGTGGGGAAGGTAAGAGATTGGTTTTCAAAGAGCTTTGAGTCCCCCAAGGCAAAGTTTAGCCACCATTCACACTAAAGCCATAGTTTTATTCCCGAGTCTGCTCTCTAGTATTTTATTTTATCAATTTATAAACAAATAGTGTTCATCAGGTACACATATTTCATTTCACTCACCCACATTCAGTTCGAAACATGCGTTCCTGAATATCCCAGTCTTAAAACTAACTCACATTGTCAGCTTGTGGAGGCAGAATACTTACATACATACATATACACATGTATATATGTATGTGTATATATACATATCTATTATATAGGTGCATATGTATATATGTAACATGTATGAATGTGTATATGTATGCACAGATACACATATGTATGTATATTCACATGTATGCATGTATATACACATGTATATATTAATGTGTATATGTGTATATGTATATACACATATGTATGTGTATTATACTTGTATATATGTATATACATATCAGTCTACTGATTTGAATGTTAATGTCATCAAGAAATAACCTCAATATAGGTATTATACATACATATAACCTTACAACTATATACAACATATATACATATGTATGTGTATATGTATACACACATACACATGCATGAGTATATATGTATGTATATAAAATATCCTTACAGTAATTCTGCCAGGGATTTTATGGGGGAGGAAGTTGGTACTCCAAATGGCTAGGTGGTAGAGCGGGGTTTTATACTTGATTTATCTAGCTCTGAAGGCAATGCTCCTTGTTCTTTCCACTGAAACATTGTGCAGCTATGAGAAGCCTGTAGTTAGTCTACGTATTCCATTAGCCTTTTATTATTTTAAAAAATAAAACCTGAAAAAAATGACATAGTCCTGGATACTTTGGTGATCTTGTTGTGTCTGGATTGATGAATAAGTGTCAGGCTTAATTAGGGATGCATGCAGAACCCGGGAAAATCCCTACTCAGGGACGCTGGGAGACCTGGAGGTTGCTCCTTGGACAGGGTACTTTTCGCTTCTCCGATAAGGAGAATGGGTTATTTTATCTTTAAACTCCCTTCCAGCTCTACCCTCCTTTGATTTTAAGTTATTAAACCTTGAGTGCGGTGCCATACTCTTGGCTTCGTTGGATGTCTACAGGACGGTCAAGGGTTACCAACTCAAAGTAAAGAAGGAACTCTGAGTACGTGCCCCCTTGGAGGTTGTGTAGGTTAGCTATACAGATTCTACAACTTCCCAGACGAGTGGCCCTGAGACTTGGGGTTGAACGCGCGAGCACGGAAGGAAATCCCACCTTAGGACGGAACCCAATCTCTTCAGCTGCGTTCTAAACTTCGCAAATTTTCTCCGAGTCTACGCGCTTCCTTAGGACTACAACTCCCAGCATGCCACGCCGGAGGTCAAAGCTTATTGGCGGTCCCGCTAGGTCGCTTGCGTTGTGGCAGTTATAGTAGCCAATGGAAATAAAGGATTATCTTAAGAAACCAATCCTGGAGTAGTAGGGCGGATCCTTCCTGGGTTCCGGCTCCGGCCCCAGCGCCTTCCCTTGCCTACGGAGGCGGTGCTGTCCCTGACCGAGCGGCGGGAGTGAGGTGGGTCCGGGTTGGGCCCGAGGTCGCGGGGGGAGGCGGACACGACTTCGCGGGAAACTCTGTACACGGCCACTTCACTCTCGCCGAGGAGTTGGAGGCTGCTGCTTTGCTCCCTGGACCGAGTGGGAAGCCAAGGGGCCTTGTGGTCCCTCCGCCCCGACCCTCGGCCCTGGTCCCCGGCCGACGCAGCCAGGTGGCTGTCCCCACCCTATTCCCCGGCCCTTCTGTTGGGTTTGAGTATACGGCACTCTGACCATACGTTTAGGATCAGCCCTTCCTCCTCTCCCACCCCTCCGGCCCCAAGCCCGCCGGCAATCTCTGAAACCAGCTCTTGTCCCCTTGGGCCTCCGCCATTGGCTTCTCCCCGCCCCACAACACACAACCCAGCCTCTTGGGCCCTGGCCCTATGACACTTCTGGCAGTCTTTGCTCCCTCTTCCCTGACCAGCTCCTGCGACCCTCTGGCTTCCTTGGTCCTCCTCTATCTTTGATCCGTTATCTAGCTTCCCTGTACAATTACCCTGTTCGTCAACACTTTGCCCTTGGTCTTTCACAATTCCTCTCTCCCCTTCCTCCCCGCAGCCCTTGACTTGGCCCCAAAGACCTGTAACTTTGGCCCTCCATACCGCACTATAGCTTAGCCCCTTCCCTTTAACCTAGCCCCTTCACCGTCATCATCTGTGATCACTAGCCCCATCTTCTTGGCTCTTACTTCTTAGACCTGGCCCCTTCTCCACTTCTCAGCCCCTTCCACCTATGCTTCTCTCTGTGCAGCTGAGCCCCCAGGAAGACAAAGCCCAATAGACCCCTTTTCCCCCAAAATCTCTGCAGTGTGATGTGAAAGTGCCTCTGTACTTCAGCTTCATTCTCGTCTCAGTAGGTAATTGGCTCTCTATCTCTGCGCGTCCCAGTCTTACCCATCCTGCAAGTCTTAGGTCAAATACCTACTCTTCCATGAAACTGCTCAACCCTGATCTCATCAGGGAGATACACCTGTGTCATGTGAACTTCAGCGGTACTGTTTTTATTTATTTCCTTCCTTCCCGTCTTCTCTCCTTTTTTCCTTCAGTACTGGTATAATGGTTAAAAGCACTGGCTTTGAAGTGATGGGCATAGGCCCCAGTTCTGCCACTTACTTGCTGTGGGCCCTTGGTCAAGGTACTTAATTTCTCTGAGCCTCAGCTTTCTCATCTCTAAAATAAGGATGATGTGAAGTGAAATTAGATGATTCATGTATGGTGCTAAGTTCACAGCTTAGCATTTGATATGAGCTTTGAAAAATGTTAATAATGTGCCAGTGCTGTGTTAGACACTGAGGAGTGGGTACAAAGGTGACTAAGGCCCAGTTCCTGCCCCTGTCCCCTGAACTTAACCTTCTGCATTGTAAGACAATTTCTGGAGTTCATGGTCTGTGTCACTATACTGTATCACAAACTGTGAGTGGTAATCATAATCCTAAATCCTTTTGCTCTTACATTGACCTAGCATCCAGCCCTGGGTAGAGCTGGAGCTTGGTAAATTATAGGTTCTCAGAATAGCAATTTTGGAATGGAGGCCAAATAGCTCATAGCATAGAGATACTGTAGCCGTGGGTCAGATGGGAGCAGGGCAGGGGGTGGGGGATGGTGGCGTAAATTAAGATCACATTCTGTCACTTATACATTCAAAGACATTTGAGCACCCAGCTTTATGCTGCAGAAGGAGATTACTAATATGACCCAGTCCCTTTCCTCAAGTTGCTTATAAACTGCTAGTAGAAACAGACATGTAAGTAGGTAATTGCAAACCACTATAAGGCAAGCACAAGATTCTGTGAGTGCATAAAGGAGAAAGGCAGGAATCAGGAGATTGCTGAGGAAAAGTGGGTGAGAATAGACACAAGTAACCATGAACTGGGTTCTGAAGACAGAGCTGGTGTTTTATTCAGCTCATTCAACAAATACTTATGAAGGATCTACTGTATATGGCTGCCACTACTCTAGGAGTTTACATTGGTAAATTGTAAAAAAAAAAAAAAAAAAAACCCCAAAAAAACACAAAGACACCAGTTCTCATGGAACTTATGTTTTAGGGAAGCAGACAATAAATAATTGACATAAAGAAAATGTCAGAAGGTAAGATATGCTATGGGGCAGGGGGACTGGGAGCGTGGGAGTGACTTAAATTTTTTAAAGGATGGTCAGGAAACAGTGTCTAAGTATCACGGAATAGTTTCTCATGTTTACTTGCATTTTTGGAAGTAAAGCAAGTCAATTATTTTTCATATTGATTATCTAAATTCTTCAAGGAACACTAACAGGGATTGGTAAATTACAGCTCACTTCCTGTTTTAAATAAAGTTTTATTGGAACACAGCCACACTTACTCCTTTATCTTATCTATGGCTGCTTTAATGATTCATGATACAGTGGCAGAATTGAATAGTTACAGCAGATATCCCATGGCCATAAATATTTACTAAATATTATCTGGCCCTTTACAGAAAAAGCTTGTCAATCTCTGGTTCTTAAAGAGTTGAGGGTCTGTCTGTATTTCACATTTTAGAAGGTTATGTACAGTTTTATGCTATTTTTAAGTTAAAAGTTTTTTCTGAATGAGATCGTTTAAAAGATCTTTTTCTTGTGTTCTTCACAGGGCCTGGATATAATGTCTTCAACAGTTGTAACAGCAGCTGCTATGTGCTGATTGACAGCATGTGTCACACACTCTGCTGAGTATTACAGGCATTTTTTTCTAATACAAAGTCTTGTAGTGTGGGTAGGTATCACAATTTTAGTGATGAGGGAGTTTAAGCTCAGAGTGGTTGAATAATTTGCAGAGAGTAGTAAAGTTAGTATGTGTCACAGTTGTAATCCAGCCCTAAATGTAGTCAGTACCTCTTTCTTCATTCTGTGTTTTTTTCCAGAAATACTTGTAGACTTGAAGGAATTATCAGTCTTTCATTTTCTATCATCAGTGTCCTGTGATAGTTTGTGCTTCCCTCCCTCATCCCTTTGTTCATGTCACTCTGTTCACCAGCTCACTCTGCTGAAATGTCGTTTTATTTCTTCAAGGCCTGGAGGAAATGCTTTCACTCTCATCAGAGGTACTTTTCACCCCAGCTCTTTCCCTGTCCTTGGCTGTAGGAACCTAAAGGAGTCTGTGAGGCTTAGCACACATTTGCTGATGTTTGCACAAATCAAGGCCTGTACTGGGCACTCTTATGTGTTTAGTTTTGGGGTGGAGTGTGGGGAGTGTGGTTTGTGTGTCTGTGTCTGTGTTTATCTTTGTGTGTACTTGGTATGTGAGTGTGTGCTTGTGTGTGGTGTGTGGGTATATGTGTGTAGACATACATGTAACTATATGTGTGTGGCGTGGCATGTGGCTAAATGTGTGTGTAGTGTGTATGTGTGTGGTGTGATAATGTATGGTTGTGTGTGGTGTGTAGGTGTGTGGTGTGTAGTTGTGTGGCTGTTGTGTGTGTGGTATGAGAATGTGAGTGTGTCTGGTATGTGAGTATACTGTCACATGAGAATGTGGCTTTGTGTATGGTGTGAGTGTGTATGTGTGATTCTGCTTGCTTGTGTGCATGCATGTGTGTGCGGGGGGGGGCAGTGGGTGGGGCTTTGTGTGGTGTTTGAGAATGTAGTGGAGGGCACTGACTGATCAGAAGAAACACAGCCCAGGCCCCACAGTAGGTCCTGGAGGTCCCAGGTATTAACCCAGATGTTTACTTGCTAGATTCTGCTGTGGTCTGGAGAGGGGTACAGTGGCAGAAATCTCAAGAAAAGGCAAAGCTGGGCCTTGTCACCTAGGAGAGCCTCAAGATTTAGAGGTTTTGTTTTGTTCATTTTGAAATCTGGCAAATAGATGGATACTTGTAAGGAAGGCTTTTCAAAAAGGATTAAACATAAAAAGAGTTACAGTTAACTTACAGTTAGGCAGAAAAATTGCACTTATCCCAAAATGAAAGCTCTTCTACTTGCCCATGAATTATAGTCTTGATTGTCGTTGCTTAGTGGTATCAAGAAGAGTGACATTATTCAAATGGCACAAATATCATCTGGTGGTGGTGGACAAAGCCGGTGCCTTCTTTTTGCTCTGGTGGGTAGCTTTAAATAGCTCTGAAAGTTTGTCACTTAAAAGGTAGCAAGTAAAGTTGTTCTATCCAAGTATTCCAGTTGATTGAAGTTATTTCTAATGGATGGTCCCATGGGGAAGGTGTATACCCTTCAAACTGAACAAAAGATTCCCTGTGATCTGGCCCAACCCAAAGAATAAAGGTGTTGGCCATTTGTGTTCATTCTCAGGGTTCAGAGATGGGCAGTGAGAAGGAGCAGAGTCCAGAACCACACCTGCCTGAGGAAGGGGAAGGGGGTAAGCCTTGGAGAGTGGATGACTCAGAGGGTTCTTGGATCCCACCTGGGGAGAAGGAGCATGGGCAAGAGAGCCTGTCGGATGAACTGCAAGAAACTCATCCAAAAAAACCATGGCAGAAAGTCACTGTCCCGGCTCGAGAGCCAGGGGATCCCATTGCTCATCCAAGGCATGAGGCAGATGAGAAGCCCTTTATATGTGCCCAGTGTGGCAAAACCTTCAATAATACCTCCAACCTGAGAACACACCAGCGGATCCACACTGGTGAGAAGCCTTACAAGTGTTCTGAATGTGGCAAGAGCTTCTCGAGAAGCTCCAACCGCATCCGGCACGAGCGGATCCACCTGGAAGAGAAACACTACAAATGCCCCAAGTGTCAGGAGAGCTTTCGGCGGCGCTCAGACCTCACCACACACCAGCAAGATCACCTAGGCAAGCGGCCATACCGCTGTGACATCTGTGGCAAGAGCTTCAGCCAGAGCGCCACACTAGCTGTGCATCACCGGACCCACCTGGAGCCAGCGCCCTACATCTGCTGTGAGTGTGGGAAGAGCTTCAGCAACAGCTCCAGCTTTGGCGTGCATCACCGCACCCACACAGGTGAGAGACCTTATGAGTGCACTGAGTGCGGGCGGACCTTCAGCGATATCTCCAACTTTGGAGCTCACCAGAGGACCCACAGAGGGGAGAAGCCCTACCGGTGCACTGTGTGCGGGAAACACTTCTCCCGGAGCTCAAATCTCATCCGCCACCAGAAAACTCACTTGGGCGAGCATGCTGGGAAAGATTCCAGCTGAAGGAGAGCCCCATTTAGAGTGAGGGAGAGAGAGCGAGAGACCCCAACCTATTGGAGGAAGATCTTGAGCATCTGCTGCTGCTACCTTGACCTCAAGCCCTTCATCCCACTTTGGAGAATGGTTTTGTATTGCCTCTGAAGTCAGGATCTCAGGAAATCCTGATAAGGGACTCTGGAGTAAAAACCCTTGCCTCTTTCCAGGCCAATTTCTCATGCTGAAAAGTCAGAGGACCCAGTCTTGGCTTCACTTTCTTGGGGTGAAAGAGAAATAGGGTAGGCTCAGAACATGCTCGTGTCATTAAGGCAGCAGTCCCCTGGCCTTTGAGGAAGTACCTATGAGATGGGTGTCACTATCTGAAGGTTCTCCAAATTGTCTGTGAACTTGCTTAGGTAGGAGTGCACTGCAGTGTCCTGCTAGTTCCCACCTATTGTGCCCCAACTTTGCTTCTAGATCTCTGGGCTGGGAGGAGTGACCTTCTCAATGGAAGGGGCCTCCTTGGTCTGGAGAAGAGATCTGAGGTCCTGCCTTAGAAATGAAAGGGAAACCCTCAGGGAGCCATGACCCAGGGACCTTCACACTCCCCAATGTTTGTTACTTGTTATCCCTCCCCCAACCTCCCCAACCTGCCTCTGTTTTCCCCAGAGTGATTAGCAGTAAAACCCTTCAATGAAAAGGACCCGTGTACTTATTTGGGGAAGTGGGGAGCTGGGGAGATTGTCCCACTGAACCCACTCTGGAAGGGAGTTGAATTCTAAGAAAGACAGATGGGTAGATGCTCTGGAAAGCAAAAGAAAGCCGACTGAGTTTCTGGGGCCTTTGAAGAGAAAGGGGAAAGGAAAGGAACTAACAGTAATTGAGCATCCACTACATGCAATTGTTTCCATCAGTCACATTTACATTCTTTATCTCATGTAGTTGTTACAGCAACCCTCAAAGGAATAAGAAGAGGACATGGAAGTGAGTAAAGATAAAGTCACTTGCTGTGAAGTCATAACAGCAAGTATGTTGTGGAGCAGAGTTCAAACTTGGGCCTCCCTGACTGCCAGCTGTTGCTCTTTTCACCAGATTTACCTTTTAGCTTCTGAAGGAGGAGCCACTTAGGAGACTTGCCTGGAGGTAGGAGCCAGTGTGGCCTCTTAATATGGCCTTGGACCATTTGCTCTGCGGAAAGTCAGTACCAAGCATGAGAACCTTTTCAACTTTATTTTGAGGTCAACTTTATCTTGAGACAGGATCTTGCTCTGTCGCCCGGGCTGGAGTGCAGTGCTGTGATGACAGCTCACTGCAGCCTTGATCTCCTGGGCTCAAGTGATCCTCCCACCTCAGTGTCCCAAGTAGCTGGGACTGCAGGTGCACACCACCACACCTGGCCCTCAGCGTTATTGATTGAGCACTTACTCTGTGCGTAGGAAGAATGGCAGTGACAGGGAGTAGGGGGTGAAGGGTGGGATAAGGTGAGAGAAATCTTAAAACCCATAATGAGAGTCTTTGCTTTTAGTAGCAATAGTTTAGTCCCCAAGGCTGAAACAGCTTAGCACGGATTCTGTCTGGTTTCCTGTCCTCCTGGTTTAGGCCTGGCTCCACATGGCAGATTTCAGTGTTTTCTACATCGAAGTTTAGTGTTCACCCAGTTTTCCTCTAACAAATACAAAAGAGCCCTTCCTCTAACAAATACAAAAGACCTCTGTCTACCTCTCTTGTGAATTTGGGGCCCTACTCTTCCAGAGTGAGGGGCCCTCTTCATTTGTAGCCAGTTGGCAGAGTGTGATTCTGGCACCAGGCTTGGAACTGACATCACCCATAACCTTGCCTAACATGGGGACCCTGCCGTTCACCAGGAAGAGATGTGCTAGGAACTTTACACTCATTGAATTCTCACAGCAACTAACAATGACCTGCATTTGCCATATGTAGAACTAGGCTGATGAAGAAAGTGACTTGCCCAAGGTTACAGAGCAAGTAAATGCAGAGTGTAGGACCTGAACTGCTGCCCAAATTCAAGTCCTGTATTTTGTCCAACTACAAAAGACTTCCCAAATGATTCCTTTATATTTATAGGGTACTTCATTGTTTACCAAGCACTTTTATTTCATACACGTTTTCCGATTCCTTGAAAATCTCCACACAATATATTTTAAACATATAGTCACCCAAACGTGTGTGTGAGTTGGTACACACCCTAATAATAAAGATCACTATCTTCTAAACCCTACTAAGTGCCAATTATTGTACACCTCTTATCTCTAATCTTCATACTATCCTTTAAGGTAGTAATGTCCCCATGTTCAAGGCAAGAAAATTCTGTGAGGTTAAATGACCAGACCTATTGGCAGAGTTGGGACTTGATTCAGGTATGTCTGATCCCAAGGCCAAGCTCTTCATTATACCCACTATCAAGCTAGGTCTACAGATCCCCTCTCAGTCTGGGAAGCTTGGTCTGACTCCTTTCTGACTTGGAGACTTTGTGACGACCACTGTAACGTTTTTTGTTTTTTGTTTTTGAGACAGTTTTGTTCTTATTGCCAAAGCTGGAGTGCAATGGCACGTTCTCAGCTTACCGCAACCTCCACCTCCCAGGTTCAAACAATTCTGCCTCAGCCTCCCGAGTAGCTGAGATTACAGGCATGTGCCACCACACCTGGCTAATTTTGTATTTTTAGTAGAGGTGGGGTTTCCCTATGTTGGTCAGGCTGATCTCAAACTCCCGACCTCAGGTGATCCGCCCGTCTCGGCCTCCCAAAGTGCTGGGATTACAGGCGTGAGCCACCGTGCCCAGTCCCCGCGGTGACTTTTATAAGAGTGTCTGCTGCCAGTTGGGCCTATGACCAATGTACCAGGCCCCTGCTTTGATCTTGGAACATAACTCCCCAGCCGATATCACTTGTCCCTTTTTTTTTTTTTTTTTTGAGATGGAGTCTCACGCTGTTTCCCAGGCTGGCGGGCAGTGGTGTGATCTTGGCTCACTGCAGCCTCCGCCTCCCGGGTTCAAGCAATTCTCCTGCCTCAGCCTCCCAAGTAGCTGGGATTACAGGCATGTGCCACAACGCCTGGCTAATTTTTGTATTTTTAGTAGAGACGGGGTTTTGCCATGTTGGCCAGGCTGGTCCTGACCTCAGGTGATCCACTTGCCTCAGCCTCCCAAAGTGCTAGGATTACAGATGTGAGCCACTGTGCCTAGCTCACTTGCCCTTTTTTGACCGTAACTTATATGCTAAGATTTTTATGTGTGAGTCAATGCTTTTGAGTCCTGACTAGTCCATTTATTCACTGTCTTAACTTCCTTTTAAACTTTATTTTCTCCTTCATTGCCCTTATTTTTTCCCTTTCTCCCTCACTCCATCTACTCTTTCTTCTCTTCCTCTCCCTCTTTTCCTACTTCCCTCTTAGTCACTTGTAATACTGACACTGAAGACAATGTGGCCCCTGGTTTCTAGTGCAGGAGATTGCCACACAAATCCAGAGTTGCAATGCAGGATGATAGGTGTCATTACAGTCGTACCCAGGATGCTGTAGAAGCCGGGGGAGTACCTTAACCTGGCCTGTACTGGACGGTGGGGCCCAGAAGTGGGTAAGACATAGTCCTTCCTGGCTGGGCACGGTGGCTCACTCCTGTAATCCCAGCACTTGGGAAGCCGAGGCGGGCAGATCACGAGGTTAGGAGATCGAGATCATCCTGGCTAATACAGTGAAACCCCATCTCTACTAAAAATATGAAAAGTTAGCCAGGTGTGGTGGCAGGCACCTGTAGTCCCAGCTACTGGGGAGGTTGAGGCAGGAGAATGGTGTGAACCCGGGAGGCGAAGCTTGCAGTGAGCTGAAGTGGCGTCACTGCACTCCTTTCATCTGAAAGGATGATGGAATTTGGTCTAAATGAATAGGTGTTTATAGCAGAGAAAAGAGAGGAAAGGGAAAGGTTATTTCAGATGGAAGGGAAGGCTTAGTGTTTTAGGAAATAATGAAATGTTTGATAGTGTGCCCTGTGTGAGGAGGAGAGGAGGCCCTTGTGTTGGATGCCAGGTTAAGAAATTTTGGACTGTGTACAATAAGAAATTTTAAAGCTTGGGAATGACATAACATTCATCATTTATTTAGGAAAAGCACTTGGGCTAGTGTGGAGGATAAACTAAAGAGGGATGAGTGATTTGGAAACATGCTAAGTTTGTAAACCAGGTGCCAATTAGGACCCTCCTGATCCACAGAGAGTTCTGTATGATTGCCTCAGAGCATTGCCAATTCCACAGAATGGGAAATTTCAAACCTTCCACACAATTTCTGCAGATTCCTGGGGTTTATGACCTCATAATCTCTTGCCTGAGATTCCTGTGATCTGTATAAACCTTTTCTATTTTGTCCCTATTAGTCCTGTCACAGAACTCAGCTCTTTTGATAAGTTTAGAATCCTTGCAAGAGATTGAGAATCTTAGTGAGGAGTTACATTAAGACATGTCAGTAGCTTCCTATCCTGTCATTTCTGCTCACCTCCCCACCCTCTCTCTGGATTGCCACATAAGACTATGGTGCATCGTTGTTTGTTGTTTGATTTTCTGAGATAAGGTCTCCCTCTTGCCCAGGCTGGAGTGCAGTAGTGTGATCACAGCTCACTGCAGCCTCCACTTCCCGAGCTCAAGCAATCCGCCTACCTCAACCACCCCAGTAGCTGGGACCACAGATGTATGCCACTGCACCTGGCTAATTATTTTTGTTAGAGATGGGGGGTCTCACTGTCAGGCCTCTGAGCCCAAGCTAAGCCATCATAACCCCTGTGACCTGCACATATATATCCAGATGGCCTGGAGCAACTGAAAAATCACAAAAGAATTGAAGCAGTCAGTTCCTGCCTTAACTGATAACATTCCACCATTGTGATTTGTTCCTGCCCCACCCTAACTAGTGAATCAACCTTGTGACAGTCCTGCCCTGGACAATGAGTCTCAGGAGCTCCCCACTGAGCACCTTGTGACCCCCACCCCTGCCCACAAGAGATAACCACCTTTAACTGTAATTTTCCACTACCTACCCAAATCCTGTAAAACTACCCCACCCCTATCTCCCTTTGCTGATTCTCTTTTTGGACTCAGCCCACTTGCATCCAAGTGAAAATAAACACCCTTGTTGCTCATACAAAACCTGGTTAGGTGGTCTCTTCACACTGACGTGCATAACATTTGATGCCGAAAAACCCAGGTCAAGAGCTCCTTTGGGAGACTGGCCCCCTGTCCTCACCCTCACTCAATGAGGAGATCCACCTATGACCTCGGGTCCTGAGACCAGCCCAAGGAACATCTCACCAATTTCAAATTGGGTAAGCTGTCTTCTTCACTCTCTTCTCCAGCTTCTCTTGCTACCCTTCAATCTCCCTATCCTTCCAATTCCAGTTCTTTTTCCTCTCTCGTAGAGACAAAGGAGACACATTTCATCCATGAACTCAGAAACTCTGATGTCGGTCATGGATTTGGGAAGACAGTCTTCCCTTGGTGTCTGATCATAGCGGGGACGCCTGCCTTGATCGTTCACCCACATTCCACTGGTGTCTGATCTCCACAGGGACACCTGCCTTGATCATTCACCCACACTCCCTTGGTGGCAGGTCAACTGCAGGGACGCCTGCTTTCCCTGCTCACTCACATTACAGCCCAGGACTCAGTCAGGGATGCCTACTGGAAGCCTGGTAGG